AAGCCCTGGGCACCCAGGAGATCCCCATCCATCTTTCTGGGCAGCAGAGATGCCCCAGGGGTGCCCAGACTCCTAAGCAAGTCTCGCTCCGTTCTTGCATCTGCTCTCGGGGCTGGAGCCTGGGGCCTGGCTTGGACGAGCTGCCTAACGCTGGTTGTGGGGAGGGGGTCCCATGTTATCAGCAACATAGGGGTCTGGCTCCATTCATTCGCTGAGTGAGGCTGGGCAAGCAGCTTGATCTCTGTCCTATTTCCCCGGCCTTCCCACCTTCCCCTGCCCGTCCAGCCACAACTGGAATAATAATAACAATAATCACTTCCTCATGGGGCTGTTTCGAGAATTCACTGACATGATCCATGTAATGTGCTTAGTGCGGAACCTGGCATCTAATTGCTTGATCATTGATAACCACGGCGATTATTATCCTTAAATATCCTGTCTGAGAGCCACGATGGGGCCCTTTGGCCCTCAAGGCCTCAAGGAGCCTGGACCAGAGGAAGCCTTAGGGTGGGCCGCAGCCCACAGGACAAAGGAGGCTGAGAGGGGAGAGCAGCCCAACCCCATCCTCTCCAGGAATGCGGCTGGCGGCTGGGAGGGCTGGCGGCTGGGAGGGCGGGGGGCGAGGGGAGATGCCTCGCCGCTGAGGTCAGGCCCTATTAGGAGCTGGCAGAGTGTTTATCATCCTCACGTGTGGGGGGAGAGGGGGGTGGTGGAGATCGGAGAGGGGGAGAAGGAGAAGCAGTTGCTGGGAGGAGCGGGAGGACTCCTGAGCGGGAGAAAACTACGCCTTTGCTGGTGTCCTGGGAGACCCCCCCCCCACCCTGGGCCCTTCCGATAACTCACTCCGTGAGCGGGGGACAGGAGGAAAGCCAGGTGCACACAGAGGTGGCTCCCAGTCCCTGCCTCAGCCAGGAATAGGACACCCACCTCACCGCGGGCCCCATTCCCAAAGATCCTCACAACAACCCAGCAAGCTAGATCTCGTCATCCTCATCAGACAGTCAAGGAAACTAAGGCTGGGGCTGGTCAGGCTCACTGCCCAAGGACGCTCACTGACACCAGTCCCCAGCTCCTAGGTCTCCTCCGTACCCCAGAGGCCACTCATGGGGGTGGCTGCCTGGGAGGCGGGCAGGGGGGTGTCAGTGTGAGAAAGGCTATGGTCTTAAGGAGGCTGGGTTGGCCTGCGCTGGTTTTCCAGGTCAGTGCAAGGCTGGCTAAGATGCACCCTCCCGCCCCCTACAGACACACTGGCTGCCAGGTCAGGGCAGCTCAGCCCTCCCCTGGCCAAATACAGCCACTTCTATTCCTGACATTCCAATCAAGGGGCCCCAGCTGCTCCTTCGGTCCCCTGGTGCCCCTTTCCTGGCTCCCCACCCTCAGAAGACAGCCCCCCCGGAATGAACCCAACTCACTCCAACTGCCATTTCAACCTGTCTCCTCCTAGACTGTCCTCCACCAAGACCAGGAAAATTTTCTGGGTCCCCTCAGTGATTGGGGTCATGCCCACTCCTCTAGTGGAGCTAGAACCACCCTGGGCCTCAGTTTCCCCTTATGGAAAGAAGGAGGGCAAGTGACCCAAGGCCCTAACAGGGTATTTCTTCTTCTCTCTCCCTCTCTCAACACACACACACACACCCCTCATAGCCACAACTCCTGCCTGTGCTCTGTGGCTAGCCCACTTTGATGACTTTGATTACTGTCTCCCATAGCAATCAGTCACCAGACAGACTATGGCTGCCAATGTTTCCTCTCCCAGAAGGGAAGGTACCCCGTGTGTCCCCAGAAGACTGGCCACACGTCCCCAGAAGGCAGCAGAAGCCAAGCCCCGTGGAGGGCGTGTTCCCACTAAGGCTTCTGAGGAGATATTCAAAATCCTTCCTCTGATCCCCCCCAGCCCCCTGAGAACAAAAATGACTCTTGCATTTTACAGAGGAAAGGAGGGATCTGCTCAAATCTCACAGAGGGCAAGAGTCAAAGATCAAATCTGCAGACTACCAGGCCCAGACCAGAAGTGCAGACTTCCATCCCAGATCAGCCTGGTGGGGCCCCTGTATTCTCGATCCCTCTACCTACCTTGACAAATGAGAAGCTAAGTGACTATCGTGCTTCCTGCAGAATGGGTGGATGTGATGTCCGTCTGTGTCAACTTGCCTCAGCCACAGTACCCAGTGATTTAACCAAACACAATCTGGATGTTGTCTGAGGACAGTTAACATCTACAATCACTTGACCTTGAGTAAAGGAGATCGCTCTCCATCATGAGGACAGGCCTCCTCCCATCAACTGAAGGTGCAAAGAGTAAAAACTAAGGCTTCCCAGAGAAGAAATTCTGCCTCCAGGCAGCAACACCAGCTTCTATCTGATTGACCTAGACCACTGGCCTGCCCTAGAGATCCCACACCGGCCAGTCTCCGCTGTCGCGTGAGTCACTCCCTTCAAATAAAGTCTCATAATATACACACCGGCATAGCTCAGAGACGATGCAAGTTCAATTCTAGACTACCATACTAGAGCCAACTGCCCCAGTAAAGCCCGTCAGATGACTTTTTTGGTTTCCCAGTGCATATCAAAGGTAAAAGTTATGTTTACACTAGACTATAATCTCATAAGTGTGCAAAGGCATTATGTCTAAAAATTTACACAAGTTAAAAAATACTTAATGGCTAAAAAAGGCTAATCCTCACCTGAGCTTTCAGCAAGTCACCTTTCCGCCCTGTGCAGGGTCTTGCCTCCGTGCTGACTGCAGCTGACCTATCCGAGCGGGGGCTGCCAAAGTCTGGCGAGGCCGTGGCAATTTCGCAAAGTAAGACAATAACATTAGCCACGGCGATGGACTCTTCCTTTCACGGACCATTCCTCTGACACTGTCTGAGAGCATCTACCCACAGCATGACTTTTTTTATCACTGGAGCCAATCCTCTCAAACTGCTCTCTGCTTTGTCCACTAAGTGTGTGCACGACTCTGAATCCTCGGTGGCCTTTCCAACATCCCCACGGCATCTTCACCGGGAACAGACGCCCTCTCGAGAAACTGCTTTGTTTGTTCGTCCACAAGAAGCAACTCCCCGCCCACCCAAGTTTGATCACAAGCTGGCAGCCAGGCCCACACATCTTCAGGCTCCGTGGCGAACCCTAGTTCTCCTGCCATTTCCACCACGTCTGTGGCTACTTTCCCCACTAAAGTCTTAAACCTCCAATGGGGGGGGGGGGATGAAAAAGGCAAACCCGGCAAAGCGCACTATAAAGAGATACGTCTGTGTATACCTCCTACTAGTCGCTTCTGGGAAGAACCCTGGATGCAAATAAGATGTCAAAAAACGGACTCCTACCAACGTAAACTTCCAATGGCCATGGCAGGGTCAGTTCGACCAAATGATAATAATAATAATAACAGCATTGGGTTACAACTTTTTTTTTTAAAGTGAATATCCAGGTATCATACTGACATAAATAAATAACTGAATAAAACAATAAGGGCTCAGAGATAGTGGGCTGAATAGGGACAGTAGAATGTGAAAGAACAGTCGAATTCTATCTATCCATGTAGAAGGAGTGATGGAAACATAGACTCAAATAAACTCAAACTAAGCGACAGTCTAAGAAATATCGGACACGTATTCTTCAAAAGTGCCCAAGTCATGAGAGACAGAGAGGGACTGCCGAACTGTCCCGGCGGGGTGGAGGCGAAGCCGGCAGACAGCTAAATGCAATGTGGGATCCTGACGTGGGTCTGGGATCCGGAAAGGGGCGGTGCTGGAAAAAACCAGCGAACTCTGCTAAGATCTGTGGATTAGTAACAGCATCCCACCGGTGTTAATTTCCTGGTTTCGATCATTACACAATAGATCTGTAAAGCTGTCAACATTTGGGGAAGCTGAATGAAGGGCATATGGGAACTCTGAACTATTTTGGCAAACCTTCCGTGAGTTTAAAATCATTAAAAAAAAAAAAAACTTTTTTTAAGTGAGTTCTAAAAAAGACACAGATTAAGGGTCAGAATGAGAGCCGGAAGGCAGTTAAAGAATTAGGTCTTTGGGAGGAAAGAGGGATTCGATGTGGGAAGGTCCCAGATGCCTCAACGAATCAGAGGAGGGATGCTCAGATGAGAGAAGGAAGAAGGCAGGCTGCTCAGGGTGCATATAGCACACAGATCTGACCTCTGGATAAGGAGACACGGAGTATATGGGCCTCCCAGCTCTGGGACCCTCACCTAGAGAGAGCCAGACCTGGCTAACGACCATGACACCACCACCACCACCATAGATGTCACGGGTCACAGGCCACTAAGCACCAGGAGCTGAAAGCACACTCCATATTGACTAATTTCACCCCATTATAATCCTGCAGGAAGGTCTTTATGACCTCAGTTTATAGATGAGGAAACTGAGAATCTGCAGTAAATGACCCCAAGTCACTGCACTATAAACAAGGGAAGCAGGGAACAAATCCAGCTCAGACTCCCAAGCTCCCAAACCTCAAAAACAAAAGAGAACTTGACTACCCCCAGTCTATCTTCCCTCTGCACAGCACAAGATGGCTGCTAAGAGCTTACCATCTCACCAGACATCCTGGTCCAGGGGGGACCATACTCATTGTCTTCCCTGAAGATTAAAGCTGGCTTGGTCATACAGAATTCCCTCCACCCAACCCGGCAGCGTCTGTCTGGGACCCCACTCCCAAGGCAGTGACAATGACACAAAATGCTGGGATTCCTGACGGCTCTGAGCACTGTCTATGCACTCACTCATTTAACCCTTATGTGACAAGGCAGGGACAGATCAGAAGCCCATCACAAAGTGTGTTGAAGAAGAAAACTCAGAAACGGATCAGGTTTCTCACCCTACCGTGTACAGGTCAGACTCTCTCCTCGAGGCTCTCCGTAAGTCTGGATTCTATTCCTGGGCCCCAGTCCCACCACCTTCCCGGCTAGGTGAGCAGGCGGCTCAACCATCCCAGCCTGGGTCCTGCTCTGGGCCCTAGGGGATTACCGTAATGCCTACCTCTTCGTGTTATTGTGAGGATTAGATGAAATGGCTCCTGTCCATGCCAGGATAGGGGATCTTTGTAAGCCAGGCACTCGTGGTGGAATTCAAGCCAGTGTGCTCTTCCTAGCGCAGGAGAGGGCACTGGAGCCTTTCTGCTGTTCCTCCAATCACGTATGACCCACGAGTGACCTTCCTCCCCGGCTTCCTTCAGCAGAACCCAGTTTGAACCCAGACACCTCTGGACACCCTCGCTTGGGTGCTCAGGCCCAGCAGGTGGAAGCCGGCCAGGGGGTTAATCTGTGACGCACTCAGAGCTTTCTTCTGCCTCAGGACATACATATCCCTCTCTTCCTAACAGCCCCCCACGAACATCCCAGCCTGCTTGCCAGCTACAGGGGACAAATGACCAAGTCACTCATCAGCCAGAGACCAGAACCCTCAGAGAAGAGGGGGTGGGGCCTCAGAGGTCCTCAGAGGCAGGGCAAAGCAGGGCACAGGAAAGGGGGTGACCCCAGGCAGGTGACCCCAGGCAGAAGAACCAATGTGGGGGAGGGGGAGGGAGTGTGGGCCATTGTCACTGTGGCGGAGCTGGCCAGACCTGCAAGCTGGTAGATTTCTGGGGCACTTGGCTGTCTGTTATCCTTGGGTCTCAGAATAACAGAATAACATATGAGTTACCATGTATTGAGAAAGAGCCTATCACATGTCAGGATCTTACCAAATCCATTTTCTCTAATCCTCACATCAACCTTGCAAGGTTGGCTGATATCAATGTCACCAGTTCTATATTGATGAGGAAAGCAGATTTCGGAGGTTGAATGACTTGTCTGATATGACACAGCTCACATAAATGGCAGAGTCAAGATCTACCTGACCCCAAGGCCAGAGGAGCTCCAACTCCCCAGCTTCCCCTCTTGGGACAGGCAGGCTCTGGAAACTGCTCGAGGTCAGTGGCCCGGGAGGCTCAGAAGTTTAAGACAGTCTTGGCTGCTAGGGAGAGCCATGCAGGAAAGAATGCTGGGTTCTGGGAAGGCAGCTCAGGACCCCAGGAGGGAGGGGCTCACCGTGCCCCAGGATTGGGGAGCCCACTTCTCCCTCACCCTCTCTGCCTAGCCGGCTCCAGCAGAGACTGTAAACCCTCATGCTAAAAGCTGGAAGCAGTGGAGGAGGCTGGTATGGGCCAGGGATCTAGGAGTCACCCTGTTCCCTCCCGCAGCGTGGACAAGCTTCCCCATCTGCGCCACACCATGGGCCCCAGGCCTCACCAGATCTCTCACACTTTCAGTGGGAAACTGCTGGCCTCTGTTCCCTCCCACATATTTCACCACACGTCCTGTCTCAACAGGACCCCAGGGTTTCCCTCTCCCTTCCCCCTCTCTGGCTCCAAGTCTCCAACTCCCATTCGCCCCCTCTCCCTGCTCTGGGCTCGCACCCTCCCCCTTTCAAAGTCCTCTGTTTCCTCAGAGGCAGCAATCCCCTATGGGATGTTTACACAGCCCCAGAGTCAGAAACACTGCAAACTATGAGACCTTTGGGGAGCCACATTCCAGGAAAATGAGAAGCTCAGTGTCACTTTCTCCCCCCGCCCCCCCAGCCCTCCCCGCCTCGCCCCCTCCCCGCCGGGGTGTGTATGTGTGTGCCTGCTCGTACTCACTGCTAGGACACATGCCCCAAGCTCACTTATTAACTCCTGAAGGTCCTACACGCTATTACCTCAGAGAGAACTTTAGGAAGATGGAGCAGGGGTGGGCAGGGGTATAAAAATGTACAACTTCTTGCAAATTTTTATAACACAACAAGGAAACAGCTTCCCTCCCAAGACCTACGTTATCCTTGACCCGCAACGCAGGGGGGAAGTGGAAGCCAGGAGAACACAGAGGCCAGAGGAACCAGTGGCTTCCTGGGGAACGTAAACCCAGGAAAGCTGAGGAGTATCCAGGGCAAACACGGGTTACTCGGGTGCTGTCAGGGAACCCCAGCATCAGAATCTTTGGGGACATTACGTAGTACTATATATCCTTGGACCTGAGTCCAGGCTCACTGAACCAAAGCCGAGGGTGGCAAGAACATGCTTAATGGGCTCACCAGGTGATGTGGGACCCACTGACAGGTGATGTGAGAGAAGAGTGACTCATGGCTCTTCCCCCTTAGAAATCGGAAAACAAGCCTCAGCAGCAGATGGTAGAGGCCAAAAGCAGAATGGGGTGGGCCCCGCTGTAGGGAAAAGTCATCAGGCTTGGGAGCCCCAACTTCCCAGAGTTTGACCTCGGTGTTCTCATTCAACAGTGCATCCAACAACATCTGCTTTAGGTGTGTTTTCTCAAGGACGAAAGGAGTCAAGTGTCACATAGCCGCCACGCAGAGGACACTCAAGAAACAGTGGCCACAGAGTGATTGCAATGAAGAATCCCATAAAACTAAGAGGAAAAAAGTAGGGTCCTTGAAAAAGCCAACAAAGTTGACAAGCATTTAGGTAGACCGACCAAGAACAAAAGAGAGAAGACCCAAAGTACTAGAATCAGAAATGGAGCAGATGCTCCTGCCGACCTCATGGAACTAAAAAGAATCGTGAAGGAAGACTACAATCATATGCCAATAAATTAGATAGCCAAGAGAAAATGGACAAATTCCTAAAAAGACACCAATGTCCTGAGGCGCCTGTGTAGCTCAGTCGGTTAAGCGTCTCATTCTTAATCTCAGCTCAGGTCATGATCTCGGGGTCATGAGATGGAGACCCACAGTGGCTCCACGCTCAGCATGGAGTCTGCTTGGGATTCTCTCTCCCTCTCCCTTTGCTCTTCCCGCTCTCTCTCTCTTTCATATATAAATAAATAAAATCATATTTTAGAAAAGACATAAACTTCCAAAACTGACTGAAGAGGAAACAGAAAACTGGAAGAGACCCCTAACAAGTAAAGAGATTGATCTCACAATCAAAAACTGCCCACAAAAAAAAAAAAAAAAAGCCCAGACTCAAACTGTTTCACATGTGAATTCTACCAAACATGTAAAGAAGAATCAATATTAATTCTTCCCAAACTTCCAAAAGTTGGAAAAGGGGCAAACATTCTCCAACTCATTCTGTGAAGCCAGTATTACCTTGATGCCAAAACCAGACAAAGACGTTATAAGAGAAAGAAAACGAAAAACCAATATCTGTTATGAACAAAGACGCAAAAACGTTCAACTACACACTAAAAAATAAAGCCAGCTACATTTAATAATAATTATACACCATGACCAAATGGGATTTGCCCCAGGAATGCAGGGCTGTTTTCACACCTGAAAATCAACTAGAGTAATCCCATTCCATAATTAAACTCCTTAATACAATCCATATCAAAGGTATAGAAAAAAACAAAACCACTGATCACCTCAATAGATGCAGAAAAAGATTTTGACAAAATCCAGTAATATCTCCTGATTTATTAAAAAAACACTCAATGAGCTAAAAATAGAAGGAAATGCCCCTAACAAAGGGTATCACAAAAAAAAACCCACAGCCATCATCATGCTTAACTGTGAATAAAGCCAAGAGTGAGATTAAGATTTCTGCTCTTGCTACTTCTGATCCATACAGTATGGGAGGTTCTAGCCAGCAAACTGGGGGGATGAAAGGGATAAGAAATCAAAAACATCCAGGATGGAAAGGAAGGAGTGAAAGCACCTCTATCCACAGATTACATGACCTCATATATTGAAAACCCTAAATAATTCACTTAAAAACTATTAGAACTCCCCTGAAGCAAATAATGCATCATATTTTTTTATTTTTTTTTATTAACATTATAATGTATTATTAGCCCCAGGGGTACAGGTTTGTGAATCGCCAGGTTTACACATTTCACAGCACTCACCAGAGCACATACCTTCCCCAATGTCCATAACCCAACCACCCTCTCCCTAGCCTTCTCCCCCCAGCAACCCTCAGTTAATGCATCATATGTTAATAAAAATAAATAAATAAAATAAAAACTATTAAAACTAATGAATTCATCAGGTTGCAGGATAAATCTCCAATGTTCAAAAATCTGTTGTATTTCTACACACTATACATGTATTTCTTCTATACAGCCATCTGAAAATGAAATTAAGAAAACAATTCCCGGGGCGCCTGGGTGGCTCAGTGGGTTAAAGCCTCTGCCTTCGGCTCAGGTCATGGTCTCAGGGTCCTGGGATCGAGCCCCACATCGGGCTCTCTGCTCGGCAGGGAGCCTGCTTCCTCCTCTCTCTCTGCCTGCCTCTCTGCCTACTTGTGATATCTGTCTGTCAAATAAATAAATAAAATCTTTAAAAATAAATAAATAAATAATAAAAAAAGAAAAAAGAAAAAAAAAGAAAAGAAAACGATTCCCTTTAAAGAAATTCCATTTCTTCCATTGAAAAGAATAAAATACTTAGGAATACATTTTACAAAACATACTCTGAAAACTACAAAACCGTGTTGAAAGAAATTAAAGAAGTTCTAAATAAATGGAAAGACATCCCACGCTCATGGCTCGGAAGACTCAATATCGTTAAAGTAGTAATACTCCCCAGGTGGATAGATTAAATTCAACGCAATCCCTACTAGAATCCCAGTAGGTTGCTTTGCAGAAATTGATAGGCTGATCCTAAAACTCAGGGACCCAGAACAGCCCTAGCAATCTTCAAAAAGAAGACTCACACTTCCCAATTTTAATACTTAATACGAAGCAACAGTTATCAGAATAGTGTGCTACTAGCATAAAGATAGCCATATGTATCAATGAAATAGAATCAAATCCAGAAATAAACCCCCACACACACCCATAGTCAATTGATTTTTTGACAGGGTTGCCAAGATCATTCAATGGGGAAAGAACAGCCTTTTCAACAAATAGTTTTGGGACGACTGGTTAGCCACATATAAAGGAATGCAGTTGGGCGCTTACCTCATACCCTATATAAAAATTAACTCGGGGTGTCTGGGTGGCTCAGTGGGTTAAGTGTCTGCCTTTGGCTCATGTCATGATCTCAGAGTCCTAGGATCAAGCCTCACATCTGGCTCCCTGAGCAGCAAGGAGTCTGCTTCTCCGCCTTCCTCACCACCCCTGTCTACCCCGCCCAACTCCCGGCTCGCACACTCACCCATGATCTCTCTC